TTTTTGAAAATGATGATTATGGTCGTAAGTGAGAATATTGTCAAGAGCATGGTTGTGTAATATGTTTGGGTATAACGAGAAGCCACAGAGTAATAAAAGAAGCAATACCTGGTAGTAATTTTTGAAAGTGCAATAGTCCAAAATGTAATGAAAATCATCAAAGAATAAAAAGCAAAAATACCGAAGCAAGAACCCAGTTATTTAATGGGGTCAGTAAAATTAAACGGCTTTTGGAAAATAATTCTTTTGGACGTCGTGATAACTTTTTAGAACAATTTGTCGAAACATTAGGAACTATTGAATCCCAAGCAATTAAAGACAATTTGGTTTATGAAAAACTTATGAGTCCGGTTAATTTAAGTTATATTAAAGGAACGATTGATGCCTGTCATGAATTAAGCCAAGCAGAAAGAGAAATCTTAAAAAATGTTTACACCAATGATAACATTGACGATATTATCAACGAAAAAGAAGCCGCGTTTGTTGGCATATTAAATGAAAGAAATTTAAAAATAGAAAGGAATAATTTCATTAAGGCCCAGTTGGAGAAATTGCCAGACTGAAATTTACTTAGTGGGAGCCAAAGGCAAGGTTATAGAGATGAAATTAGTAGAAGCCATCCATCTCTTTTTGATTCAGTGCTTAATTCTGCCCGAGCAAAAATAGCAGAAGTAAAAAGTAATGACAATACAGAGAGAGAGAGAGAGAGAGAGAGAGAGAGAGAGAGAGAGAGAGAGAGCAAAATTGCTGGTTGCTGAGATAAAGGCTGAGTTAGACAATTCCCCGCCAGTGAATATTACCGAATTGGATAGTAAATTCCATGATTACGAAAATTTGGCTCTGAATGAATTAGAAGCCATTAAAAATGACCTTATTGCGGCTATCAAAAACCGCCGAGCCACAAAAAAATTGAGCGAATTGTTGAGCCAGGCTAAAACCTGTGCGGATAGTGATTTGTGAAGTTTCATTAAAAGATTAGAAAATTTTGCTTCGTCAACAGTCTCCGAGGAGGAAAAAAATGCCTACTCCGCTCGCCAAAATGAGGTTAACGCATTACTGAGTGAATTGCGAGACCGCTGAAATAATTTGAGTGAGGAGACGAAACTAGAAAATTATTGAAACAACGCCATTCGCAACTTCGTTAATTGATTATCCGAGGCCGAAAATCTCCAACTGGCGGCTGATGACCCCTGGCAAAATTTCCCGACAGCCATTAAAGAACACACCACCCAAGAAGCGATTGAAAACCAGGAAAAAGAAGCCTATCAGCATATTTTAGCCCAATTCAAAGCAAAAGTCAAACAAGAATTAGGAGCCGCCCAAAAGGATGGGGAATACTCGCCAATCGATGATAGCCAGAACTTCGTCGCCGTAAAATCAGCCCGAACCAGCATTAAGCAAAGCCGGGAAAACTCCGATTCACCAGACAATAACGAAAGAGGGAAAAATCCCGTTGACAACAATAAAAATCAAAAAAATAAATCCGACTATTCTCAACTAATAATGATTGCTGTTACGATTGTGGCCGTAACAACCCTAATTATAATGCTGACAAGCAGAACTTTGAAAAAATGAAAAACATCTACTAAAAAAAACAGACACGAATAATTTATCATTAAAAATAATATATATAAATAAAAAAAAAATATATACATGAACGATAACTATAATAGTTTGGGACGCCGCAAAGAAGCAAACGCACGAGTTTATTTAAAAGAAGGCACCGGACAAGCCTGGATCAGAACCAACAACGGAAAAGAAAAGAGTCTTCGCGATTATTTTTATATGGAGCCTTCGCTTTGCGAGGACATTCTTCAGCCGCTCAAATTGTTTAACAAGGAAAATGATTTTGACTTTTTTGCTCGAGTAAAAGGCAGTGGCCCGCAAAGTCAAGCCGGGGCAATTAGATTGGCATTGGCTCGGGCGCTATTAAAAGTTTACCCAGAATACAAAATTACTTTGAAAAGCTTTTCTCTGCTAACAAGGGATTCTCGGCGAGTATGGAGAAAAGTAGTTGGTTCTAAAAAGGCTAACAAAGGCAAAAGATTTCACAAACGTTAGAATGGCTAAATATTTTTTGAATGTTAAGGAGAGTGGAAAAAGCGATGACATGGAGGGAAATATAGTTTATAGGTTTGATTTAGAAACTCCGCTTCGTTTTCCTTTCTCAATTGACAGTGAAAATTACGTATATTCCGAATATAAGCGTTTAGAAATTAAAACTAGCCAAAATAAGAGTGAATTTTTTCGTGATGGTGAAACAGACCGATGAGGAGCAATAGAAAATTACTGAAACTTGTGTGCTCCGGATAACAATAAAGGATTTTCCATGACCGGCTATAATGACGAGCTTACTTTGGACGATGCAGACGGAAATATTTATTTAGAACTCCTTCATTTTCCCCACTCCACTTTGAAAATGAAACCGGCAGAAATTACCTGAAAATCTAATGAAAATATTTGTCTAAAACTGGCTTCCTCTTATTCCGTGCGGGACGAAATCCAAAACTTTAACATAAACATTAATGAAATTGATTTAAGAGGCAAAAATATTGATAAACTTCATTCTCTCATTGCTAATTGTATCGAAAAAGGTCAAGATTTAACCTTAAAATTTCGTTCTCCCAATAGTGCTCATTTTCGCAAAAGTTATTCTAATAACCAATGAATTAACACTTTGGTTATCCCAGAAAATAGTCTACAAGAGGATTTGACCACTCAAAACCAAAACCCCAATTCTTTGTCCCTTCTAATAAATATTTTGTTATTTTCGTTTTTAGGAGTTATAATTCTAATTTCATTTTTTTTGCTTTTCTTAATAAAACGCAAAAAATCTCGTAAAAAATAATTTATGGCAGGACATTCTGCAGCCAAAAATAAAAAATGAAGAAAAGACCGTCAATCTGAACTTCGGAGCCAAGAACATCAGACAGCCAGAAGGGAAATTGAACTTCTGATTAGGCAGAAAAGGGAAATTCCGAAAGAAGCATTTGTCATTGCCCGAGAACACAGTTTTCCTAAAGAAAAAGTTTATCAGATTTGAGAAAAATTCAAGAATAGCACAGCGGAAAGTCGTTCTACTCAGGCCTTGTTCCAGGCTCCTTTTGGCATTTTAATTTATTTAGAAGGGGGCAAAAATATTCCGGCTGATTTAGTCAAAAAATTACAATTAAAATCTCTAACTCCCGTCTCCTTGCCGAATTATTTTCAACCGTTATATAGCCTTAAAATTAATTTAAAGGGCAATGACAATAATTTAGAAGAATATTTACTTACTTATTTGCCAAACGAAATTTGAGAAAAAACAAATTATGATGAAAAAAAAAGAGAGTTGATTTCTCAAGACAAAGAGGAAATAACAAGAATAAAAAAGATTATTAAAGAAAAAAAATTAGAATTAGTGATTGAAGAAGAAAAAATTTTTTGAAAACCTTTAATTCCTTGTCGACTAATAGCCAAAGAGGAAATTGATTATTATCATGAGTTAGAGAATCAATTAGCCAGCAGCAATTTTTATACCAATATTGAAAAGTAAATGGGACTATAGCGCAGTTGGTCAGCGCACACCGCCGATAACGGTGAGGTCGGTGGTTCGAATCCACCTAGTCCTACCAAAAGTTAAATAATTTGCAGCAAATCATTTAGGAACCAAAAATTAATATTCTTTTTCTTTTAACAAAAAAATAATAGTTAATGCTGAAAATTATTTACCTCTTCTTAAAGAAATAAGCATCTTTAGGATTTTTACTATTACCCAAATCACAACGATAAGAACAATTATGAAAATTAATAATTTTCATCAATAATCTTTAATATAATTACCCAAATCGCTAATATTTTTAATGCCTTGTGGGGGTCATTCCAAGAATTTTTTTAGCCAGCCGAACATAATTTTAATTTTATACGTTTTTTGATTAGCCCAATCTTTTTTCTACTTCTGAAAAAGCCGAATGGGTGAAAACGAGATAATTAGGAGATGATATTTGTGAAAAGTTAACAGATTTACTATCGCTTATCTCGATATAAGGCAAATTACGAAAAGAATAAATTATTTTTTCTTTATTTTCTTCCTCGTTGGCTAGCACAACTAAAGTTGTGGCTTTTTTAGTTGGCAAAAAGTCAAGAAATTTTTCCGCCTCTTTGGTTTTATAATTAGCAAGCATTATTTTATCAATGATTATTATTTTTTTATTTCTCATTTTTTCCCCCAGAAGTGATTGAAGGACATTTTTTTTGAATTTTTTATTAATGTCTAAAGAGCACTTTTTTTGTCCCGTTGGTCCAAAAACTATTCCCCCTCCCCGATTTTGGGGGTTATAACGAGAACCGGAACGTGCTCGTCCAGTTTTTTTTTGAGGGTGGGGCTTTTGATCGCTACCTTCTACTTCCCCCTTAGTTTTAGTTTTATGCGTATTTTGATGCTTATTGAATGAATAATAACGATTAGCCAGAGAAATATTTCGACGAGAAAGCGGAATTTGCCATATCTTAGTATTGACTGTCTGCTTGCTTACTATTTCCCCTTTCTGGTTAATGATTTCTACTTGCTCCATATATATTATTTATATTCTTTTTCCCTTTTCTAACCCTCAACTCAACCACCAACCAAGCCAACACTAACAAACTCACCCCACTCAACGCCCCTAAACCGATATTTCATTTTTGAGCCATTTGTTTTTGTTTAATTACTCCTTGTATTTTTTCACTAAATACCTGGTTTTGTTTACTTACTAATTCTGAATAACTGGTTGCACTTTGTAAAGATTGCTGCACTTGGTCGCTTAAACCTAATTCTTGGCTCAATTTTACTAATTGTTGCTTAATGAAAATTGTTAAAAATAACTTTCGGGCGCAATTTTCTCAGCAAATAACCTTGTTTATCAAAGAACACACCCTCGTCCGCCAATAATTTTCGTTTGGCAACCACCTTTTCTCCTTCCCCTCATTCACCGCAATATCCTCCAATAAAAAAATTAGTCGCAATCACGCGATGGCAAGGAACTTCGTCAGGAGAAAAAGGATTATTTTTCAGAATCCGACCCACTTCACGAGGGGAAATCCGAAGAAAATCCGCAATGTATTTATAAGTTGAAATCTGACCTTTTGGTATCTGAGAACAACAATTATAAACACGAGAGGAAAGATTGCTGAGTTTTGACATTTTGAAGGAATTTTGCAAATTAATTAAGGAATTGAACTCTCATAATATACTATTCTAAAAAACTGAAATGAGGAAAAAAATTTTGGTTCTTGCCAAAATTTATTTAACTTTTCCTCCAAATCTTTTCTGTAATTCTTCCATTTGTTTTCTTAGTTTGGGGTCATTCATTACCCCAAAAATACCCTCCTTCTCCATTTTCCTTTGGAGTTCTTGGGCTTTTTTGGCTTGATTAATAAATTCCCTTCAACTTTTCACTCCGGTGGCTTTTTTGAGAGCACGAAGCATGTATCAAAGGCAAAGAAAAACGCCAATAATTATACTAACGGGAACAATAACAAATAGTCAGTAAACACTTATATTCATATATTAATTTTTACTAATCTTTCTTTTTCGTCAAAATAATCCGACTACTATTCCCAACACTAAAGCCCCGCCAATGATACTCGCTATTAAGAACGTACTATTGCTATTGCGGGGCGTAGCAGTATTAAGGAGATTATTTAATTCTTGTTGACTTAAACTCGTTTGGCCGCTGGTTTGGTAATAACCGATAACTTTTTTAAATTCAGATTGATTAAGGCGTTCTTTGGTTCAAACTTCTGATTTACCACTATTATATTCAATTAGTAAATCACCCGTGGTGGTTAAGGACATTTGGCTAATACCGTATTTTTGAAAAATTTTTAACAGCCCCTCTTTATCTAATTCTGAATTTTCTTTTTCTCCTTCTGAAATAAGCCCAACACTCATATTTTTATCATTAGCATTCTCAATTAATCCATTAACACCACTGACCGGATTCACTAATTCCTGCTGCCCGTTCTCTTGATAATGGTCGATGAAAATCTTATCATTTAACTCGACATAAGTTTCATATTTAATGAAATTGCCTTTTCCTCGTTGTTCTAGACGTTGGGCTTCGGCCTCAGAAATAATTTCCTGTTTCTGTTTTTCCACATTTCAATAACGGAGAGTAGTTGGCTCTGCTGCTCCCTTGACCACAAAAAATTTACCTACTTCCGAATTGGTGCCTCAGCCGTTATCAAAGAGACAATTAGTCAAGGCTATATGATTATCCGGAACGTAAATTGTATAATTATGCCCGTTGCGTTTTCCGCTAAAAGTATGTCAATTTTCTCACTTTCCACGACCGTTATATTTGCCATCGGTCGAACACTTTCACTGGGTGAATAAATGAGGATTATTCAATTTTATATTTTCAATTCTATGGCGGTCTTGCTTATCTTTTTCCTCTAAAAAGTTCTTTGTTTGACGAATTAAACTAATCATTTCCTCAAAATCGGTCGAGGAAAAATCCTCTTGCTTGACTCTAACCATTCGAGTAGTAATTTTATCACGGTCCAGAGGCTTTTGGCGATTACGAGCCAAATTAGCAATTAACTCGTTGATTTCTTTTTTTTGACCAAAATAACAGATTTCTCTGCTCTGATTGGCTTCTCAAATATCCCCAACTCTGTCTCCGGCTTCAAATTTTTTGCTTCCGTCCAAAACTTCTCTTAACTCTTTTTTAATCAGTTCGGCTAAATGGTGGGGGTCGGTGGCTGGACCAGTCGAATTTTCTAATCGTTGCATCATTTCTTCATGTTCAATGTCAATACTCATACTTTTCCCACAACTTCATTTTTTATCGAACATTTTTTCTTGGAGAGCGGTTAACTCCCTTTTAATCTTGGCCCTTTCCGCAAACGGGCTGCTGTAAAATTTTTCTTTCAACTTTTTTTCTTGCTCTTTCATTTTTTCTCATTCGGCTCTGAATTTGTCAAACTCTCGTTTTTTCTCGTCTATGGTTTTAAAATTATTATTTCGGTTCATATCTTTGATATTTTTTAATATTGATTTTTTTAAGATTTAAATTTTAATGTTCTATTTTGTTTAAATTCTAACTTAAAGCACAAAAACGCCCGGTACTTATTGATTTTACTCGTCTTATATATTTCCACAACGAATACTTATTGTTTTTTTTTTTTTTTTGTGATTGGTGTCATATTATTATATTACAATACTCAAATTAAATGTTAATTAGGCAGGCCAGAGGATGCCTGACCTCTCGGTCTATGGCCTTTACTATGATTAACTTTTTTTTTAATGATAATAAATATATAACATTTTAATACATTATATATAAAGTATTTATTTCGTTTTAGTATAATCCTTGGCCACTATTTAATTTTTCTTATCGCTGTTTATTCAAAAATATCTTCGTATATTTTTCTACACTTAAATTCGGCATATTTGTTTCAACATATCTCATTTTTCATGAGATTTTGCTATATTTCCTTTAGTGATATATAAAAATTTTCATTTTTCAACTTTTCGTGCTTCTTCTCCTAAACTTAAATTTAAAGCATTTACTCATTCTTTTGCCGCTTGATTTTTTTCCTCTATTCTCGGGTCAGGGTTATTGTCATCCTTAATTTCCACTAATCAATGAATATCATTTTCATCTATCACTAAAAAGTCTGGAAAATAATGTCGTTGGCTTGGGCCAAAAAGAATATAAATTTCATCTCCTCATTGTAAAAGACGAATTCATTTTTTAACTTCTCTGGTTTTATCAATTAACTTCGCAAATTGAAATTCAATTCCACTATCAAAGGTGTCATAATTATACAAACTTTTGGTGAATTGGTATCCTTTGGTTCTTTTTACAAATTCTTCCTCTAAATTTCCCGCAACAATTTCACAACTAGGATGAAAATAATTAAAACTTTTTTCAACTATCTCTTGCTCGGGCTGATTTTCACCAACATGTAATTCTTTAAAAATGTTTTGGATTAATCGGGCTAACTGGTCGCCGGCGGCTTCTCAATATTGAGATACTATTTCTAAATTACCAATTTGGAGAAATTTTTCTACTAAACGACAGGCTGATTCTATTTCTGTAAAATTGGATGAATTAATAAACGAGCATTTACGAAAAATAAGACCAATCAATTGACTTTTTATTTTTTCTTCCTTAGGAAGTTGTTGAGTTGCTTCAATAATAAATTCTTCATCATCCGCCGTTTTTCAACTAATTTTTTGATTAGCATCTATCTAAATTTTGTAACGCTGTAATAGATTTTTTATCTCTTTTTGGGAAGTAAAATTTTCTCCTAATTCCTTGAATCTTTTACCTAGCCCTTTGATTTCAATTATCCGTAAAGAAAAGTTTTGGGGTTTAATTTTTTGTCGCAATATTTTGATAACGAATTTCTCCTTTATTTTATTTGGCGGGACTACTTCTTGGCTTTGCTGTAAAATATTTTTTTCTCGTTCGTCTAAATTTTGAGGGTTGAAAATGTTTTGGTCGGGATTATTTTCTGCTCCATTTTGTAGTGTTTGAGAAAGATTTTCGGGTTGTCCGCTCGTTTTTTTGTTGTCTTCTCTTTGTCCTTCTTCAACAATTCCAAAAAATTTGCTATTTAAGGATTTACGGACATCTAATAATTCTTTAAAATTGTCATGCATTATAATTTCCAAAGTATTTAGTGCCTCTTTGGGAGTATATTCACCAAAAGGTAAATGCAAACCACGACCGATTATTTGTTCGATAAAAGTGGTTGATTTGAAGGCTCGCAAAGGGACAATAACATAAACATTTTTGACATCTCAACCCTCTTTTAACATGCCAACAGCAATAATAATTCGGGTAGGATTATGGGGATTATCAATATTTTGTAATTCTTGGGCTAAATCATCCGTAATTTTGCTACTATCAACTTGGAGAATATTTTCGGAAGGAAATTCACAATTAACAATTAAACTGGTGCGAATGTTTTCAGCTTCTTCAATGCTGGGGGCAACTACTAACATTAAGGCTTTTTGGGAGTTTAGATTATTTTGTCGGGTGTAATTATCTAAAAGAATTTGCTTGGCATCCAATAATTTTATTGCGTCTTTTAATTTGGTTTCTTCCTCTTGATATCCATCATAGCGACCCACCATGACCGGAATTTTGATTAATTTATCTCGCAAGGCCTTTCATAAAGGATATTCAAAAATAATTTCCTTGGGTGGCGTTTTTTTGTCTGGCGTGCCAGTTAATCCAATTAAATTTTTTGGTTTTAATTCTCTAATGGCTTCGGAAAACTTTTCTCCATAGTATAAATGATGTTCGTCAGCAAAAATAACCAAATCATCTAATTTACTTAAATGTTCCCGTAAAGATTGGCCTAATATTTCATCATAATTACTAGTTTTGCGAGCCGTTTTGCCTTTGGCTTGGGTTAAAGATTGAACTGTGAAAATAAATAATTTGACAGAATTTTTATCAGTAGTTTTGGCCGTGTGAAAATTTTTGATATCAATAATGCGGGGTGGTTTAATGGTTAATTTATCCGCCAAAGAATTAGGTTTGTTGAGAGAAAAATTGTTAATGGTCTTTTCTCGGATTATTTTTCCCGGAGCCACAATTAGAAAATTAGTCATCTTTTCGGCTTCAACTAAATAGTTTAAAATAGCCGCAATTATGTATGTTTTTCCTACTCCGGTGGCAACTGAGAGAATATATTCAGATAATTTTTCAGACTTGTAATAATGCTCTAAAAATGTTTGAACTGCTTCTTTGTTGGGTTGGCGGAGTTCCAGTTTTTTAGCAATGTTTTCGAGGGTGGTTTGGTCAGCGGCCTTTAACATTAAAATAAATATATATAAAAAAGTTTTAATCTAAAAACGTTATAATAAGATTTTAAGATTTATGAAAGAGGAGCAAAAGAAACAAATTTGTTTGGCTTGTGATAGCGGACTGAAAATAGAAAAATGTCGTCAGTGTGGAGGAAATCGTTATTTTTTTGTTAAAGAGGGGGAGAAGTATTCATTAGATGAAGAAACAATAGAAAGAATTTGCGAAATACTTTCAAGTACTCAAAGTTTCCACGAAAAAAAAATTGCCTTGTTTGTCCTTTTAGAAAGTTTAGAAGTGGAAAAATTACCAAAAATCGAAAATCAAAGAATTAATTATTTATTGCAGAGCCAGTTTTTCAATGAGTTAGCCAAAAAAAGTATGAAAGAGTACGAGAAGTCAACTATTAGTAATTTTTCGAGAAAATAAAGGATGATTAATCAACTACTACATTGGGGAAAAATTATTGGGGAAGATTCAGGCGCTAATCCGGAGACCTATAAATACACTTTTCTTACTTATGAACAAAAATTAGTAATTTTTTACAGTTATCATCAGTTAGAATGACGCCCAAATACTCAATATAAATTAGAGATTAAAAAAAGTGATAACAGAAAATATAACTTTTTTGTTTCTTTAAAAGAAGAGATTAATAATTTGTCTGCAAAAACAGAAAAAGAGCAAATGCTGATTGAGTTTGAAAGAGAAATAAAAAATAGTATTAGGGAACTCGAGGAGAGATTAGACAAGAAAGTAAAAGAACGTAGTAATAAACAAAAAAAACGAAAGAGGCGTGGGAAGAATTTTTGAAAATTACTATTAGTTCTTTTTCTTTTACTATTTCGGAAATAATAACAACATCGCCGTTTATGCCAAAAGTTTTTTACATTAACGAAAAAATAGTTGGAGGGGTTTAAATCCTCGCATAATGCTGTAAAATATTATTCGGTACCTTGCCAATTTTAACATTATTAAATTTTTTATTTTCCAAATCAGGGTCAACTGCCAACGCCGCAATCTCTAAAAACTTATCCTTTTCCATAGAATTAAGCAAAAAGTTAATTAATCCCTCCGTCAACATGCCATCCACCACGGCTAATAAAACATCCCCTTTTTTGCCGCAAAAATGTTCGTTATCAGGCTGATAATCATATTCTAATTGTGTAGCAACTAATTTCGCTAATTTACCATTTAAGGCATGTTCGGCAATACAAATTATTCCGGAATGAATATCGAACATAGATTTTTCAACTTGAAAATAAGTAAATCCACCGCCACCAGTTCAATTAACTTCCTCGCTAATCCCGCCTTTGTCCTCGCCACTAATAACTTTTTTTAATCGTGGAACAGCAAAATTATTAATTGTATTTTCGTTATTCTCAACAATAATTCACTTTCTCTTTAATTTTTGAGCCACGGCAGCCGTAGTGCCGGAACCAGCAAAATAATCTAAAACAATATCTCCCTCGTTCGTGGCAATTTGGATAATTCTTTTTAGTAGTCTCTCGGGTTTGGGAGTTTCAAACGGGTCAATTTCAGGGAATAGTCTTTTAATTTCCTTTTTTGCTTCGTCATTATGTCCCACTTCCTCATATTTTCATAAAGTTTGTGGTGCTATATCCTGTGCCACCTCGTTAAGAAAACGTTTTAGAGCAGGGACATTGCTGCCACTTTTTCCCCACCAAATTCGATTATCTTTAATTAGTTCTTCAAGGCGTTCAGGGGATACCAACCACGAAAGTCCTTTTGGCGGGTAAACTATTTTGCCAGAGGGAGTAGTAATTGGATAAACATTTTTAGGATTAATAGCCTTCACACTAAAATTATCCGTCCTCCATAAGCCCCGTAGGTCGTTGTCTGGGTTTTTGTAAAGTTTATTTTGCTTCTCTGTGCGAGGTAAGCGATTAATTTTAAACTGCTCGATATTTTTAGCAAAAACTAGAATATAATTTTGGTCGGTGCTAAAAAGTTTCACGTTGCTATGAGGAGAATAACCTTTTTGTCAAACCACATTCGCCACAAAATTCTCCTTTCCAAAAATTTCATCCAAAACCAATTTAAAATGATATAATTCGGTATCGTCTAAATGAACTCATAAAGAACCATCATCACTTAATAATTCATAGGCTTTAAGGACTCGGTCTCGCATCATGGTTAATCATACTGAATGTTCCAATTGGTCGTCATAATTAGTAAACATTTGTCCGGTATTAAAAGGTGGGTCAATATAAATTAACTTGATTTTATTCACATACTTTTTTCGGTATTCTGGGATTTTGCTTAAACTGGTTAGAGCATTTAAACTATCGCCACAGATTACTAGATTATCGGCAAAGTCTTCGCCAACTTTCTCCATTTCTTTAAATAATCGGACCTCTGAAACCCTATAATCATTTGGTTCTACTCATTCATATTGGCCTTTGTCATAATCTTTAACAATCAGAGTCTTGTTTTTATTAACTCAGTTTAGTTCTAATTTGCCGGATAGTTTATTGTTGTTTTGAGTCATGTTTTATTAATTTTTTTTAGGGAAATTTCAATTTGAGATTTCTGTTCCTCAAAATGCTTATTTTTGTGGGAAGAAAAATGAATTTCTTTGATGTTTTTGGGTAATTCTTTCAATTCAATACTGGTATTTTCAATGTGTAACAGATTTTTTAAAGCTTCAGTAGAACCAGCAAAATGGTTAAATTTATTATTGTCTATCCGCTTGGAATCTCAATTGCCTAATTTCAATACTCGCAGGTTAACGAACCTGCTAAATGGGGTTAAATCAAAAGGCACCGAACCATCATTAATAAACTTATTATTGCCGATTAAAAGTTCTCTCAATTTCCTGCTAGATAAATCATTTAAAAAATCGAGTTTAGTGAGATAATTATTAAAACAGGATAATACTTGAAGATTAGAACAACCAGTTAATTTTAGGCTAGATAAATAATTGCTATCACAACAAACTATTGAAAGATTAATTAGACCATTCAGATTTAAAGAAGATAATTTATTATGAGAACAATCCAACATTTCTAAATTAGAACACTGACTTATATTTAGACTACTAATTTTATTTTTGCCACAAATTATTGCTTTCAAACTATTAAATCCGGTTAAATTCAAAGAACCTGTCAAATCTTTTTCTGAAATATCCAAAATAGTAATATCTTTTTTTCTTGTAGAGGGCAATGTTCTTTTAAATATTTTGTCAAATATCTCTGGGCTTTCATAATGTTGATTTTATGTGGGTAATGAAGTTACATCTGTTTTTAGTATAAAATTATTTAATAATATGAAACGAACCTACCAGCCCAAGAAAAAAAAAAGATTGAAAAAGCACGGATATCTGGCCCGGAGCGAAAAAATTCTGCAGGCTCGGCGTCGGAAAGGCCGCTGACAACTGAGTGTGAAAAAAACCCTAAAATATATATCCTAGTCAAATATGGGTAGTAAAAAAGAATTTAAAAATAAAAATAAGGAATTAGAAGTAAAGAGGTTAGATAAAAAAACCTTTCAGAGAATAAAAGAAGAATTTAAACAGTATCAAAAATATTTATTTGGATTAATTGCTGTATATATCATTTGTTATTCTATTTGGTTTAATGTAGCCGAAGGGGCTGGCAATTTTTTACATTCACACGGATACGACAAAAATAGTCGAGTTTTGGTCATTAGCATTGCTATATTGCAAGGATTATTATTTAGTTTGGATGGTTTTGTAACGGCTTTACTAAAATCGCCTTTCAATCAAATGTGTTATGCTATTAACAAGTCAGAAGGAATACCATATAAAAAGAAAAGGAGCATAATAACATTGGCTACTAGATCCAACGAACACTGTAAGGAAACGCTTAAAAAAATGGGTATGTTGACTATTGTGAATGAGATGATAAGAATTTTTATTATGGGAAAAGGTATTATTGATAAAGATTTAGAACCTTATGGTAGTTGATTGCTTTTGAGTTATCTTATTCCCCTAATTTTTACAGCATTCGATATGATGTCAATTGCCCGAGAATTAAAAAAAATTGAAAAATTACAAGTTGACAGACATGCTAAAAATAAGCCACTTGCCAAACAGTCTGATTAGAACTCGTTTTGCTCCCAGCCCGACCGGAGAATTACATATCGGTGGGGCCCGAACGGCACTTTTTAATTATCTTTTTGCCAAACAAAATGACGGTCAGTTTATTCTCCGTATTGAGGATACTGACCTCCAAAGAAATAAAGAAATATTTGTCAATAATTTATATGAGGATTTACTATGGCTGGGATTAAAGCCTGATGAATCGATTTTTCAAATCGGTGAACACGGTCCTTATCGGCAAACCCAGCGATTAGACATTTATCGGAAATATATTGAAAAGTTATTAGCCGAAAAAAAGGCCTATTATTGCTTTTGTTCTCCGGAGGAATTGGCTCAAGAAAGAGAAAAATTTATCCAAGGAAATAAACGAAGCAATTATCAATATTCCCGGAAGTGTTTACGACTAAGTGAAAAAGAGGTTCAATTTTTTCTCCACCAAAAAAAGCCGTATGTTGTGCGCTTAAAAATCCCCTCCGCTAAAAATTACTCTTTTGCTGATTTAGTGCGAGGGGAAGTTAATTTTAGGAGCCAAAACATTGAGGATTTTGTGCTTTTTCGTCAAAATGGCATCCCTAATTTCAATTTTGCGTGTGTGGTTGACGACCGCCTAATGAAAATTAGCCATGTTTTACGAGGCGAGGAGCATTTATCCAATACTGGCAAGCAATTAGTTTTATACGAAGCCCTAGGATGAAAACCGCCTCGGTTCGGCCACATTTCAATAATTCTTAACCAAGAAAAAAAAAAGCTTTCCAAACGGGACCCTGAAACTAGTCAATGGCAACTAATTAGCCAATTACGAGCCAAAGGATATTTACCGGAAGCAATCGTTAATTATTTGCTCCTTTTAGGTTGACATCCCGGAAACACTCAAGAAATTTTCACTCTGCGAGAGGCAATTAAGAAATTTAAATTATCCGGATTACATGCCAGCGGAGCCGTCTACGATTTAGAAAAACTTAATTGATATAATAATTACTACATTCAGCAATTAGGAGAAAAAGAGTTCGCTGAATATGCTTGACAATTTTTAGGCGAGCAAAATATCGGCTGATTAAAATCAGAAAAAGAAAAAAAAGAATGAGTAAAAGAAATCTCTTGGTTATTCCGGCCACAACTGAATTATTTTGCGGAATTAATTAATTTAACCACTTATTTTTTTCAAAGGCCAACACAAAAAATTGAAATTGAGGAAAGTGAGGTCTTGTGATTGAAAGAATTGAGAGAACAATTGAATCAATTAGCCAAATGGGAAGTAGAAAATATTAAATCAGTTCTTAAATCGGTTTGTTTAAGCAACCAAGCCCCCCAAAGAGATTTTTATCTCTTGGTGCGAAAAGTATTGACAGGAACCGGCAAAGGACCTGAATTGCCTCATGTTATTTACTTATTAAATAAGGAAGAAGCGGAGAAAAGATTTAAAATAATAAATATAACAAAAAAATAATTACTTATCATGCGAGCAAAAGAAATAATAAATAACCAAAAAGAGCCATTAATATTCTACAAATCAGCCCCGAGTTTTGAGTTTAGAGTGTAGCAAGCAAGAAATTACCGCCTGTCTAGATGATGGCCGAAAATTAAGTATCCCAACTACTTGGTTTACTAGACTGCGAAAAGCCACGTTAAAACAATTAAAAAATTATCGCATTTTACCAGATGCTTATCATATTCACTGACCGGAACTAGATGAGGACATTAGTTTGCGGGTGTTTACGGACGGCTTAGAAAGTGGTTGTTGTTAGAATATGCCAACCATTAGAGGTTTTGAGAAAAAGAAAGGCTTTTGCTTTTTCTTTACTTTCCATGACCGCGGAGAGGAGCCACATATTCATGCCGAAGGTTCAGGTGGAATTATGAAAGTTTTTCTAACAGATTTATCAGTTGAATATTCGCGTGGTTTAACTTATTCCGAAGAAAGAAAAATTTTAGAAATCGTGGAAAGAAACCGAGGACTCTTTATTCTTTATTAAAGAATGAAGAAAATTTTTTAAAGAAAAGTAGCCACATAATTAATAAAATATAACGATTAAATTGAGGTTTTTGACTACTGACTTTGTTAAAATATATTTAGGGGTGAGTTATCCCCAAAAGTATAATAATAAAATCAATAATATATATAACATTAAGCAAAAGAATAATTAATCATGAACAAAAATATTGAAACTCAAAAAATCAAAGTAAATAACGGACAAGAATTAATTGCCGAAGCCAAAAAGTGAAAAAATTCGGGTGGAGTATGAAAGTTGCGAGAAAGGTATTTAGAAATACCGTTCAAAGGAATCGGGAAAAGGAAAAATAAATTAGGTTGAGGAATTATAATCAGCAATGGAAAGCAGACAGTCGATATTCTTTCGTCCGAAAGTAATCTAGATTATAAGGATTTCGTAGAAAAAGATTTGATATCTTTCGACGAGATTAATGTCCGATCTGAACTTCACCAACTTTTTCCAGAAGTAAAATTTGCTCATCCTGATAGTGGTGGTAATAGAAAATTAAATAACACTACTTATAAAGAACTTAAAAAAGACAATGAAGATTATACTTTACGCCGCTATTTAGTAGCCGAAAAATTTTGGCATTTAAAGAAAATAATAAGAAATTATTTTCGCGAAAATGAAGCCAGAATATATAATTCCCCCAAGCGTGATTTTTCCGACTGAGTGGAAATAATTGACGGGCAAGACGGCAATATCTATCTCTATGTAGGAGAGAAAAATGCTGATGGCGGTCGGGAAATTAAAATTGGCATTACTAAAAGCGAGTTTGAAAATTGTAAAAGGGATTATTCAGGCGATACTCCGCTTAAATCATTGGAGGACTTTTGAGGATTTTTCACTATTGGCCGACCGAGAACGCCAGCCGAAACTCACGAATATTATTCCAAAAACGGCGGATTAGAGGAGGAATGACAAAGAAATTGACCGCACCGCCAGGGATTATGCCGAAAATATTTGGAAGAATTGCGGGAGCGCCTAACCAAAAAGTTTAATTATTGACAAGAAAAAACACAACAAAAAAAATATTGAGACCATGAAGCCAACGAACAAGGCATTTTAGCCAAGACCCATGTTGCCGAAATCGACTACTATTTAGACGATATGAAAAAAAATCGACCTGATTATTATGCGGCTTGTGATAAAAATTGTGATATTTGCGGCGTTAAACTTTGTTGTCATTTTGAAGGTCGAGCATGCTCGTCAGATAAAAAATGAACTCGACCTGACGAAAATTTTCTCCATTACCATGGTCGGACACCTGAACCAGAGGAAAACAAAAATAACCAAATTAGCGAAAGTGAAAAATCCCAACTTCTGCAATATTTTCTCCAAAATGGTATTCAGAAAATTACGATTGAAAATGGAAAATTAATAATCACGCATAATAATAATAATACAATTATAACTGATGAGGATTCAGAGCAACAAAAATATCACCAAATACTTGAAAAATTACCAACTCATACTCTATCTTTAAGTGAATTACAAAATAATAATACTAATTCGGATTCTAATAAAGACGATAAAAGTTTCTATAAAGGCCTAGTTATTGGGGCTGTTGTGATTATTTTAATTGGGTTAATTGCTTATTGTTGAAAGAGAAAAAATAGGTCTACATTTTGTCGGAACCCAAAAAGATAAAAAATAAATAATAAGCATGTCAACATTTTCATTAGATTTACAATTTTTCGCCCAAAAAAAAGGGGGCGGTTCGGCGGCTACTAATTGTAGCCATAAATCTTACAATCCCAACAATCTGGGAGTAAAAATATTTGGTAGCCAGTTAGTTAAAAAGGGCAGCATAATTGTTCGTCAACATGGCACCAAATATAAAGGAGGACCGGGGGTGTTTTTGGGTAGGGACTATACCATTCACGCTCAACATGATGGAATAGTAAAATTTTACCAAAAGCATATCAGAAGGCAAAAGAGAACTTTTGTGTCGGTTTTACCGCTAGTTAAGGCAGGGTAATGGGGATGTGAGAAAAAATTATTTTTGCTGCTGTTTTTATTCTCATTCCAGTCATTTGCTATCATTGATTAAAAAAATCCGACCAACGAAATTATAGTAGCAAAGATATAATTTGAATAGCCGTTTTTTCCTATTTTTGAAGTTTTTTCAATATTTTCGTTCATGAGTGCGGTCATGCCTTAACGGCTCGTGGTTTTAGTTATTCAAGCAAAATAAGTGTTGGTGTTGGGCCAAAATTGTTTAGTTTTGGTGAAGGAAAAATTAATTTTCAGATTTTCCCTTTTTATGGATTTACAAGCCACTCAACCCCTTTTGCAACTAACAAAATAAGAGTCGTTATTTTGGCTATGGGTGTCATTACTCAGTTTATTTTTTTGGGTCTGGTTTATTGATTGCTAAAAAGGAATAAAAAATGACAAAAAAATATAATCGGTCATTTTTGCTATCATTATGCTATTAAAACGGCTTTTTGATTAACATTTGTTCTTAATTTTCCTTTTGTTTTGCCTAATTCTGATTGAACCAGAATTACCAAAATATTACTTAGTTGAAAATAGTATGTTCCGACTTGACAAAAGAAAAATTTTTCTCCTCTATCATTATTATTTATTGGGCCGCGTTCAAAAGACCGGAGGAGAGAATGAAAAAGAAAAAGAAAGAATTGGCTGACTTGATAATTGTTTAGCACAAGAAAAATTTCTCCGAGAAAAAATTGATAAAAGAGT